AAGTGGTCCATATTAAATTACATCAACTGTCTCTCTTCAAACAGAAATAGCTCTTTATTCGCTCTCTCTGTCATCTAACAGGTGTCTGAATTATATCTTTTATATTTTACACTTACCTGGAACTGTTTTGTTTTTCTTCCTTTCTATCCGCTTCTTTTTTCCTATAACACAAGATTTATTAAAGAATATTTGGCGAATACATTAATATTCTACTTGTCGTTTCCTTCCTATATCCTAATGTCATACTTTCTACTGCAGTGCGAGTTACTTCATTTGTGAATCAACATTCCTAACGTTTTTTTCTAATAATGTTTTAGTCGAAAGTGTTCTTAAGAAAGCTTTCATTCATGTTCAAATTTGTATATATGTTCAGTGGAATCAATTATTCCTTCAAACACACACACACACACACATACATATATATATATATATATATATATATATATATATATATATATAAGAAATGGACAAAGTCCGACAATTTATTTATTAAAGACATTTTTATGTTTAACGTTCTTTTTTTATAGATACAAGTATTTAAGTAAATGCCCTGTTTATAATCAGGCCAGTAAATGTTATTTAATACTGTTTATTATAAACAGAGCATTTACTTAAATACTTGTATCTATAAAAAAAGAACGTTAAACATAAAATGTCTTTATATATATATATATATATATATATATATATATATATATATATATATATATATATATATATATATATATATATATATATATATATATATATATATATATATATATACATTCAGCTGTATGGATATGAGTTGGTTATCCTAGGTTTCATGCTTTTTACGATCATGATCACAAAGGCATGAAACCGAGGGTAAGAATATAAATACAAATGAATATGCTAGCCCTATCACTGATATTGAAGGATTTCCAATAAGTACCGCATATATATATATACACACACACACACACACACACACATATATATATATATATATATATATTACCTAACGTGTTCTTTCTTATATATATATATATATATATATATATATATATATATATATATATATATATATATATATATATATATGAAGTGAACATTAAGTCAACATTTAGAGTCGACAGTCTTTTTTTCATGCTAGACGCAATCGTCAGGCCACCGATTGCGTCTAGCATGAAAAAGGACTGTCACATCTAAGTGTTGACTTCAATGTTTACTTTATATTTACACACGCTCTATCGCTGATATTAAGCACTTTTATCCCATAAATATAGCATACCTTCAGACTATATTTCATCATATATATATATATATATATATATATATATATATATATCTGTGTGTGTGTAACACCAAAATCGTCCAAAGTCTGTAAAATTATTAATTCTCCCATTAATTTAGCCTTTTCTACATGTGGATGAGGCCAATATATTCATATTACCTACAATTATGTTCCGTATGGACTTTGCTAGGTTTCCATGTAATTAAATGAGTCCAAAAAGATGAAACTTGAGTATACGTGATAGGCATGTAGTGATGAACTGAAAATAATTATTCAAGAATTTCGTTTGATCCGAAACGCTATTTCTTAAGAGACGTAAATTCATAAATTTTATTGGTTCTCTGTAATGTGAATCTTGCAAATAAGTTGACCGTAAGTTTTGAAGCTCTATTTATTATAGTAAAAAATTAATTTCATTTTCTTGATCTTGTCGAATGGGCGTATAAATTTCACTATCAAAAATTACAAAACACTTATCAAAATACAAGAAAAGCTTAGAAAATAAAATACTTAATCTCAGTAAGTTCTCAGTTGTCTTTAATGAATATATATATGTGTGTGTGTAAAATTAAATTAAAGACATTAGTTCCATTTCATCCTCAGACGAATTTTGGAGTAACTTTTAAAATTACTGGGTTTTAAATACACAGCTAAAACAAAATTCATGTTTCCAAGGTTACAGATAAATCTATTTTTCTATACAGGGGTGTCTGGGTGTTCAATATGTCTTTATTTTAATGTATCAGTTATTACTACGTTTTGGTAGGGGGTAGGGATGTATTTTTCAATGAAATTTAACATCCGTTAAAAGCGTGTCGTCTGGATTTTTTTTTAAATTATATTGTTAACGGCTAAAATTCTTACGGCATTTTTCCTTCGTATATTTAAAAATTTTTTTTTTGCGAGGTTTTTAGGTAAGAATACTTTTTATTTAACTACGATTTGAAATATGTTTGCTTTTAATTTTAATATACTATATTTCTTTCAAGAACAATTAAATGTAATTAGAATCCCTTACCTTTTGTAGAATTATTATCACATCAAGTATATTACGATTTTTTAAAATTTTATATTTAAATATTACTAAAGTAAAATTTTCATTTCTCTGATTTAGTAAACTTTATTTATTATTTAATTACAATTTAAAAGATGTTTAGGTTTATATATATATATATATATATATATATATATATATATATGTGTGTGTGTGTGTGTGTGTGTGTGTGTGTGTGTGTGTGGATGGGTATACCATCACATCGGATGCCAAGTTCGACAGGGTAGGAAACAATAGACTGGCCAAGGCAAACATCGCTTTTGGCAGACTCTACAAAAGAGAATGGAACAGCAAGCAACTGAAGGGCACTAAGATCAGCGTCTATAGAGCCGTTGTACTCATCACCCTGCTGTACGGCTCCGAGTCATGGGTAACCTACTCCATCACCTACGACTCCTTGAGCGCTTTCGTCAGCGCTGTCTCCGTACAATTTTCAACATTCACTGGAGTGACTACGTCAACAACATTGAGGACCTCGAACAGGCGAAGCTCATCAGCATTGAGGCCATGTTGCTGAGTCACAGCTAGGCTGGGCCGGGCACGTCTCCAGAATGGGGGATCATCGCCTACCCAAGATAGCCCTGTATGGTGTACTCTCCACAGGCCAACGTGACAGGAGGGCACTAAGGAAGCGTTATAAAGACTCCCTCAAGAAGTCCTTCGGTAACTGCCACATTGATCATCGCCAGTGGTCGACACTTGCGGCGCGCAGCACTGCCCACCAGGCCGTCTCCACCATCGGGGATTCTCGCAGGGCAAACCTAAAGGAAAAACGCTACAGGAGGAAAGATCGGGAATCCTCAGCAGCTATGCCAGACCAGGCCAAACCTTTTAATTACATTCGCTTCCCGCCAGACTTTCCTGTACGGTATCGGCTAGGTCGCCATCATCGTGCCTGCAGTTGGTGTGGGCACTCCACAAATCTTCGTTCGCGAAGCAAAGCCAATATATATATATATATATATATATATATATATATATATATATATATATATATATATATATATATATATATATATATATATATATATATTATATATATATGAACGAAGATATATATATATATATATATATATATGTATATATGCCTATTTCTACATATATATATATATAATTTGGCTTTTGCTTTCATGAACGAAGATATATATATATATATATATATATATATATATATATATATATATATATATATGCCTATTTCCCACTTTACATATAAGTTGGCTAGATGTAACCGTAAGTTCTATGCTAACAGTTACTTTTCTCGGTATTATCCTTTGATCTTCTATTGTCCGTCTTCTTAAATTCAGATCTTTTAATTTTCTCAATCCTTAATATGTTTCTTTCTTTTATATTCAGTAATCCCCGTAGTTTTAGTATCTTTATTGCATGACCTGATTAAGAAAACAAAAAAGGTTTCCTTTTGATATTTACTAAAAAAACGATTTGTCTTAGACTTGATCAACAAAAATAATTTTCTTTTTAGATATGCATTCATTATTAACCGAGGGGAAACATATAGAAAACTTTCTTTCTTTCTAAAAACTTATTTCTTTCTAAAAGATGCAATATATACATACATGTATATATATATATATATATATATATATATATATATATATATATATATATATATATATGAATAAAAATGACAATAGGAAAACTGACAATTGCTGACGCGTTTCATCCAATGTGGACATTATCAAAGCAAAATACGAATTTCGTCATTTTATTCATAAACATTGCCTTCTCTACTGGTTAAATCGGAGAAATTTTCATATATATATATATATATATATATATATATATATATATATATATATATATATATATATATATATATGTATATATATTTCACACAGATTTCGTATTAGTGTAAAAAGAAATAAAATATAAAATGTTAATAACTCTAAATGTTAGTACAGATCCACTGTATTTTGTGATAAAGAGATATGTATTTTTAAACTATACATAAAATTTACAGGAAATGATCTTTGTGCGTGTTTAGGTGAGAAAAGAGGAATTTCTGAACTAGAAATATCTTGTGGAAAATAGAAGAACGTGATTTTGTAACTGCATTTCTTTAGAATATCTCGGAAGTGTTGCTTTTGTCAACTTTTTTAAATAGTACATGTAAGTAGGAGAAATATTTTGATGGTATTCACAGATTTTTTATGAGTATGCACTCATACGAATAGAAAACTTGCCATAACGCTGCCGACGCGTTGTTAAACAAAAGTATTCCTTATGATGGTTTACTTCTAATTCCTCCCAATCGTCCTGACTGATTTCCTTTTCTCTGGCCGGTTTTCATCACAATGCTACTGAAAAGCAGTCACAAATTGGTAGTGCAGATAAGAACCTGAACTTCAAATGATTATGCGCTAATTTTTAGGCGGTATTTTTTTTTTTTACCTATCAATAAAATAAATTTAAGATTTATTTCTTTTAAGATTTCATAGAAATTGTATATTTAAACTAAACACGGGTAATGTTTTCAAGCTAAGAAAATATGACTCAAGATTTTGACCAAACAATTATACCTTGTTTGTTTACTCATTGACTAGAAGACGCATAAATATTCATTCTCAAATATAAATCACACACAAAAACAAACACCCTACTACACAAACACACACGCGTGCACCACGCACACACGCACGGACACACACACACACAAACAGACACACTTACACAGAGAAAAGAAAGGATGTACGAACACACAGGCAATGTCTCCTTCATTTCCCAAAACTGAAGTAGGTATGAGTGAGAGAGAGGGAGTCAGAGAGATAGAGAGAGAGATAGATAGAGTGAAGAGGTTCATAGGAGGAGGAGAGGAAGTAAATGTATGAAGTGTGTCAGAGGAGGTGAGAGAGTGTGTGTGAGATGGGTCATAGAAGGAGTGGGAGTACGAGAGAGAGATGAGTCAGAGGATAAGGAGGCTTAGTGAGAGCGAGAGAAATGTGGGTCATAGGAGGAGGAGAGAAATGAGTCAGAGAAGGAGGAGGAGTGGAGACAGAGATTGCGACACGATCGTCTAACGATTGCATATATGCAAGAAACAATGTTGTTTCTGGGAGTTATCCGAACACAAGAAATCATACTTATTATAAAACCCAGGTTGTGTGTGTGTCTCTGTACGTTTATATATTGGATCGGATTTCCTACGTTTTTCAACCGATTTCAACAAAACTTCACAGGACTACGTAAAATTACATTGCGGTGGTTCTGATAGCGCCAGAAATTGGAAAAACACAATTGTTTTTGCACGAAATCAATTTGAAAACACGATTAAGAGGCATCGCGAGAATGAAAGGGGGACAACTCATATCGATTTATACTTATTATAATACCCAGGTTGTTTGTGTGTGTTTGTGTGTGTGTTCGTTTATATATGGGATCGCATTCCCTACATTTTTCAGCCGATTTCAACAAAACTTCACTTTTTTTTTGGCAGGTAGTGTTTCTTATTGTCTTGCACACTTTTTTCTTTATTTTTACATTCAGAATGCTTTAAAAATTCTATTTACAAGACAATTGTTTATAATAACATTCTATTCAATCGGTAGATCCATAACGATTGAAAAAAATGTTTTTGTTTGAGTTTGGGTTTGACCAATTCGTAAAAAACAAAATGATTAAGACATGCGTGTCCGTCAACCTTAAACAATAATCTTTGTTAATTTTATTTTTCAGTCTTTATGATGGCCGATACTTGATCTATCTCTTACTGTTACATCCCCGGGCAACGCCGGGCTCTGCTGCTAGTATTAAATAAACACTTAATCTCAGTTTCTTGTCGGTTGTTTTAAATAAAACAGATACCATGACTTCGTCATCTATTTGAATTCGTAAAAAAAATTATTTAATATAAATTTAATTTTGTAAGTCAATAAACGCTGCATACGTTGTCATTGGAAGAGTGAGTACATTTGTACATTTTGGCTGGAACAACATATATATATATATATATATATATATATATATATATATATATATATATATATATATATATATATATATATAAATGTATTGTGGGTAAAGGTGTGAATGTCCGAGAGAGAGACATCTGAATTTTTTATACAAGAATGTTTATGCAACGCGTCTTTTGACACGTATTGAAATTCGTACAGTGTTTGACATTGTTGAAGTTATCGCTGAATTGTTTTGCCAAGATTTTAAAACTCGTTGTCTTCAATTTCTCAAACCAAACGGTGAAATTTGGATAAGGAGATTTGTTTGGCAAATAATCTAACAAAAAGCAAGTAAAAGCAGCTGTACTTTGTAACCCATTACCTGTTTGCACTTGAGAGAGAGACAGACAGACAGACAGATAGACAGAGTCAGAGGTAGATAGATAGACAGACAGACAGACAGAGACAGAGATAGATAGATAGATAGATAGATAGATAGATAGATAGATAGATAGATAGATAGATAGATAGATCATGATGCAACCATTTATTATGTGGGAATGCAAATGGCAGGGATATGGAATCTAACTTAAATTATTATTGGTTAGTTCGAATTTTCTTCAATAATTTTACAGAAATAACTTTAATATTTCCGGTATTAGATAATTGTGCCTTAGTTTTTAATAGAAATCATGGCGTGTATTGCGGAGAATCGGAGTACTCATATCCTACGCTATAAAAATGATTTGAAATAGAATTAAAAATACACTTGTTTCTGAAGTTTGAATGTATTATAGATCACTAGATGACTCTAATAGCTACTGAAAATAGCAAGATATTATGGGTACCAGAGGAAAATTGAATGTTAATGTAGAAAAGAAATGAGTCAATTCAATAAGAGGCTAATATGGAATCGGATCACGCAAAGCCCGCAGAGAAAATCGAGTCTAATTGCTCATAGCGGATGACAAAGTAATAACCAACAACATGTGGTTAGAGGACAACTTGGTCAATTTTTGACATAAAAAGCAGGTGAAAAAACAAATTTAACAATCAGTAACAGCTTCGGAATTTCATTTCTAATGATGTAAGACGTACCCAGGCGCAGAATATAGCTGTGAGATTTATGAAATTTCAGCCTAACTTCAGAAAATTAAAAAAAAATACGCCTACACTAAAATACAGAAGACATCGAGAAGACTTGTTTTGCACATCAACACATGGTGAAATTTTATACTGAGCCATAAATAATTTCAATTTTTGGTACATCAACATTATTATAAAAAGTACAATTAAATTTCATTCAGTTATATACACTGAGGAGAAACAGATATTAGTACACATAAACATTTTTAAGTTATTGTATTTCCAACTAATAAACATATTTTTCATATAGTTAACTGTACTGTTATGTGCCATGCGTGATAAACGCTTAGGGGATCATATATCTTTCGATACATGACTGTCGAGGCAGACATTTCCCGCAGTAGGTTGCCATTTCTTTCTACGTTAAACCAGTTGCCATCCAAATCTATAGAACCCAGACTGTCAGAAGAGGATACATATATTTTCCCATGGTTATTAGCATGTAAGTGAATGTAATGGATTCGACTGGAATTCGAACTCGGCTCTTCGATTACTCAATACGAGCCGCTATCCTATTTCTTCTGTACACAGATTCATAATAACTAAATATGCATTAAAAACATAAAATATGATTTACTAGAAATAAATCCCATTTATCCATTTTAATGGGGGAAAGTATCTTCAACGATACATTACAATCTGCGTGGAGAAAGCAAATTGTATTTTGTGGTCTTTGAGCACGATGACTGTGCGATTAGTTTTGTCTGTCCTCCCTGGAATATTATTATTATTATTATTATTATTATTAGTATTATTATTATTATTATTATTATCTTTTATTCCCGGATCTCAAATAGAGACTTAATGTCAGAAATGGCATTATGACTTTTCCCACTGATGATTTAAAACAAAAAACACACAAAAAGCAAATATCACACACATTTTACAAAGATAAAGCACCCAGTAAGGTGTAAGTTGTACTTGAGGTATAATTTTCTGTATTTCTTTGAGGCATAAATTACCAGGAATATCTTCAAAAATCCATCGGAAACTTTTCCAATCAATCCGAGGAATCCAGCGACAACTAGTATTATTCATGTCCTCATGTTCCACATTTTTGAGACTTCCATTACAAGAGTTATGTATTTTGATAGTTGCTTTGAAGATCGTTAAATATAAATTACTACTCTCTGTGGCTGGCATGTCAATAACGAAATGCATTCAGATTTTGAGGTCTTTGATCACGATTTTCTTAGCGAAACGATTTGATTGTTCTGTGTCTATTGCAAAGGCCAATAAAATTGTTACACATCTTATCTCTGTAACCGGGGTGGGGGGTTCATACTAATCTCATGCAATGTCCTTCACGTAAATGTTGCATAATTTTTTGTGCAGATATTGATACATTCTATCATGCCAAATTTTATATTTAGTGCAATCTGTTACAAGATATTCAGTTGTTTTTAGATATGTATCACATAATCTGCATTTGGGGTCATCACCATTTTTCAAAATGTGCGCATGATAATTTCTAGTTGGCAAGTATTGGTCTTGTGCGTGCAGCCAGAATAAAAACTTTGGTTTCAGCTTTTAATTATTCACTAAGTAACAACTGATTCGTACTGGGTTACTTTGGATTAGATAAATGTGCAAAAGTAACATTCAAGAAAGGTAGAATTACAGAAACACCCTTAATAGATTTAGATTTTGTCACAAAGATTATGGAACTGGAGCATGGTGAAGCTAGGAACTAGCGAAGGAGATGGCATACAACACCCCCAAATGAAGGAAAAAATAAGAAAAGAGCACTACAAGCGTGTACATCTGGTACTAAATACAGAGCTAAACTCAAAAAACAAAATATCAGCCATAAACACATTGGCTGTCCCTGTGGTGCAATACAGATTTAATGCCCTTAACTGGACCATAGCTGAAATTTAGTGAATGGACGCAAAAACGAGAAAGCTTCTCACTTGCTATCGCATGCATCATCCCAAAGATGATGTTGATCGTCTGTATGTGCCCAGATCCGAAGGAGGCAGAGGATTAGTTCAACTAGAACTGTCCTACAAAACTACAACAATTGGCCTCCAAAGATACTTGGAAACTACAGAAGACTGGGTGATGGTATGCGTCAAGGAACATGAAATAGTAAGCGTCTCTACTCCGTAATCAAAGAAGCCAACAAATTCAAAATGGAGTTCCAAATGGGCGTAGAGATGCAACTACAGCACAATACACCGGATGAAACTGCAAAATACTTAAAAAAGACAGCAAAGACGAATGCAACCGACCAGATACAGAAGCGATGGCAAGATAAACAGCTTCATGGCCAATACTCTGCTCGTACCAAACAAGCTGACGTAGACAAAACCCGTACCCATCAGTGACTACGTAGTGCAGGTTTGAAAGCGGAAACTGAAGTTTTTATCCGTGCTGCGCAGGACCAATGCTTGCTAACTAGGAATTATCAAGCACATATACTAAAATATTGTGTCAGCCCAAAATGCAGATTCTGTGATAAATATCCAGAAACGATTGATCATCTTATATCAGGTTGTACGGTGTTGGCACCCACTGAATATAAAACCCGACATGACAGAGTGGGCCAGTATCTGCACTGGAAAATCTGCAACTTCTACGGGAAGAAAACTGAAAGAAACTGGTATGAACACCACCCAGACCCGGTTACGGAGATAGGACCTGTTACAATTCTATGGGACTACACAATACACACTGACAGAACAAGGCCAACCGCCCAGATATTGTTATTAAAGACCACAAACAAAAAAGGTGCCTCCTTATTGATATGGCAGTCCCTGCT